TAGAATACTGTGCAACCCTAACGAATAAAGTAGAATCTGCAAAACACCGCATAACATGGATGAACTTGGAGGACATTATGCTGAGTGAAATAAGTCAATCACAGAAGGACAAATATTGTATTAGTCCAGTATTGTAATAGTCAAGGAACAGTTTATATATGGATGGAAATTTTCTTTATTGGTTACCCGGGGTGTGAGGAGACGGGAGGGAACGCTCTTAGATAGATAGAGATAAGTATTGATTTGGGTGAAGAGAAGGACAGTGTACCAAATGTGAATGATCAACATGGTGGCAATTGAGGAAGAGGAAGACATAGAGAGGTACATGGGAGGTTCAGATGACAAATATGAACCCTTTGGCATATACAGTACTGCGTTGTCAGTGAAGGCAAACACGGGTATATGGGTAGATAGATGGGCTGACAGGCTGATCTATTAGGTATGTCTATGCAGCAGGGAGTATACACAAACCACGTATAGGATTAGCAGATGATGGTTCTACAAGTGTATTTGTATGTTCTGTAAGAATTCCCAGGTGTATAGTAGAGCTGACAAGATACAAGTTTGTAGTCACTGCTTGGTCACTGCCAGCTACCCAGAGGGAACGAGTAGTTGGACCTGTGGGCTTGGGATCATAGTTGCAGGGAACATCAAGCTCAACTGGCATAATATACTACATAAAACATTGTTTCATCTCTTACTTTGGCAAGTAGTGACTGGGATATTAAAAGCTTAGAAGCAGCCATCTAGATGCAGCGATAGGTCTTTCCTCATCCAGAGCAAAGAAGAATGAAGAAAAACAAAGATTCATGGAAACAAGTAGTCCTCGTGACTGGTACACTATGTGTTGTGCAGCCTATACGACTGAGACAGAAGAACTAGATGGTGCCCAGTTACCACTGTCAAGCACTCCGAGTGGGATCTATGTAGGAGATCCTGGATAATGAGGAACAAATAATGTGGAACAAAACAAAATCATTTGGAAAAAGGAAAAAAAAAAAGGGACCAGGTTTGCTGGTCTGATAAAGCCTTGTGGAACCACTGAGACTATGGCCCCTAGCTCCCCTTCAGGTCTGGAATTGAACCCACACCTGTAGTTTCCAGCCAAACAAAAGACAGGCATATGAGTTGAACATTTAGCTGAGGTGGATACACTCCTTGGAGAGAACAATCATGGGAGAAAGAAGGGCTGTTCATGTACAGGGAGACAGTTCAGGGGCCAGGAGTAATGGAGGGATAGACACAGGGAAGGGGTAACTATCAGGAGGAAGGGGAGCTGTTGCATTGGGGTTAATTGTAATCAATGTCATGAGACAATGTGTGTGTGAACTGCTATATGGAAAGTGAATTAGCTCTGTAAACTTTCATCCAAATCACAATTTAAAAAAAAAAAAAAGAAATTTGTGTTATTTATTAATAAATTCATCCTGGGAAAGGGGCAAATGAGTTGTAAATTCTGCTTTACTCGTGTAGCTTGTACAGTTAAAAAGAAGATATTAAATGCCAAAAGGTCCTGATGCCTCAGAAAGATTTAACACTTGCTGCTGTGCCTGAGTTCGGAAAATGTGTACCAGTATGATAAGCTACGAAAACTTAAGCCTTGATTCTTTTAAAACTGGTTCCAGACACACATCTGTAATTCTCTGTAATAGAATATAATTTCTAGAAATTAATATGGTGATCTGGTTTGGATCAAACCAGTTTAACAGACTACAACTGAGTTAACATTCAAACTCCTCTAATGACTAGAACTAGAGATACTTCCAGAATATTAGAAATAGGAGCAACAACTGTTAAACAGATGCGTCAGGATCCAGATAGGACTATGACGAGCCCTGGGTGCTTGTCCCAAGTATTTTTCCCTTGGGCTGTGGCTCCCTTGGGAGCAGTGGACTGAAAGCAAATCAAAAATTTGTTAAGCCACCTGAAACTACTTCTCTTCTTTTTCTCATTTTCTGTTGACTGTGTTTAAACTTGCATTCTGTAATTTCATATTGTCACTCATCCTCTTGAAATTATTTTTCTTTAGATCTACAGTACTTGTGCTTTCCTGGTCTTTTCAACTTTAATTTCTGTATATAGGATGTGAAATGTATACAAATGCAATGAAGATAAAAAAAAAAAAAAAAAAAAATCGCCCCCCCCCTTTTTTGTGTGGAGATGTCTTTCTCTTTCTTGTTTTAACATGAACTTTATTACTGTCTCTTGTCCAAGTGGCTCTGATCCGTGCCAGCCCTGTGTTGTGATCCAGAAGGGTTTCACTGCCTGATTTTCAGAAGCAGATCTCCAGGCCTTTCTTCCTTGTTCTTCTTAGGCCAGAAGGCTTAACATTACAGCTACATGAAAGCCTTCATGGGCAGATGGGTGGTGGCTACTCTTGAGGTGTGTTGGCCAGGAGTCACACCTGGGTTTCTTGCATGGAAGGAGAGAATTTTGCCACTGAACCAAAACTACAAAGCCACTGCTGTCGTGTCAGTTCTGACTTACAGCTACCCTGTAGGACAGAATAGAACTGCCCAGAGGGTTTCCAAGGCTGTATATCTTTACTAGAGCAGTTGCCACATCTTTCTTCCATGGAGGGGCTGGTAGGTTCAAACAGCCAGTCTTTTGGTTAGCAGCTGAGTACTTAAGCACTGTTCCACCAGGGCCCTTTCTAAAACGAAATGTAGGAAAATTTTTGTATTTTACTAGTATTGTTAGCCATAGTAAAAGTGCTGTACTTTCAGAGTGATGACTGAGTAGGATTGGGACAGAGATCTTGTTGAAGCCGTGTTGGCTTGAGTGAGTCCTCTCTCTGGAGCAGACCGCATGTCTCTGTCACGCATGAAATAGAAGCATGTGGGTAAGTGTTCCGCGCACTTGTGTAGGGTGTATTATCCCTGTGCCATGGGCTGTGCTGCTTTTCACCTAAAAATCTAATTTGTTGTTGTTGTTAGCGTGCCGTCAAGTCGGACCTGACTCATAGCGAACCCCTCCTTGGGTTTCTGAGGCAGTATCACTAAGGAAGTAGATTGCCCCATCTTCCTTCTGAGGAGTGGCAGGTGGGTTTGAACCGCCAGTCTTCTGGTTAGCAGTCAAGTCCCTTAGCCTTTATGCTACCAGAGCTCCCAAAGATCTAATTTAGAATAAATAAATAAATGTGTGGGTGTGTATATGTGCATAAAATTTGGGGGTGGTAGTGATTTTTAATTTCTCAAGTCTTTAAGCTGTGCAAAAAACACTTTAATCTTTAAAGGTTTTGTTTAATGTTAGGTTTATTCTATTTTATTTGGCAGGAGATTTGAAGAAATGTGGAAATGGGGCATCTTTTTTGTATACATTTAAATCACCATTTATAGAAACTCAGCATTTTGAAACAAAGTTCTCAGCTTCCACACCTCTCAAACAGACTACATTTTCTTTCCTTGGTGTTGGCATGTTGCCATACTGCCAAGTCAGGTCTCCTAGTCTTCTCTCTCTCTGTTCTATCTTGTATTTCTCGATGGTTTAGTAGTAGGAGTACTAGATGGAGCTGGGAAATCTGAATTTCTGAGCTGGCTGTGCTCAAGTGATATTAGCTGTACGTCTGTCATTTATTCCCAAGCCTCCATGACTACCATGTTTTCCATCCTTAAACATTCTTAGCCTTTTATGTCTTTATGTGACTACGCTTTATATGACTACTGCCCTCATGTGATCCATGCCAGGATGGCTGAGGTGCCACCCCTAGCCCTGCACATCCTCCTGTGATATTTCTTGAGGAGGCCATGGCACTTGTGCCTTCATTCCCAAGTCACGTTGCATTCAATTAGGTCAATCTTAAAACTCACCCATCTTTGTTGTTAGCTGTCATTGAGTCAGCTGCTGACTCTTGGTAACCTCATGCATAATGGAATAAACACTGCCCAGTCTTGCACCATCCTCAGGTGTGGTTACCAATCAGACTGCTGTGGTTCATAGGGTTTTCATTGGCTGATTTTCAGAAGTAGATTGCCCGGTCCTTCCATCTAGTCTAGTTTAGTCTGGAAGCTCAGCTGAAACCTGTTCAGCATCATAGCAACACAGAAGCTGCCAATGATAGACAGGTGATGGCTGTGTAAGACGTTCATTGGCAGGGAATCAAACCCAGTTCTTCCACATGGAAGGCAAGAATTCTGCCATTGAACAACCACTGCCCCCAGAGAAATGATGGTGAATTGTTTTTTCTCCTGGCCCTTGTACTCTAGATGTGGGGTTCTAATGGTGTCCTCATTGACTACTCTATGGGGAGCATGTTGATCAGGCATTCTTTGTGGATGAACAAGACATGGGCTTGGCCAGCCTCATTGAAGGTTGTCTTCAGTGGTAGACCAGCAACATTGCCAAGCACCCTCCAGAACCATGGCGTGATTTCTCGGAAAAGTTGGTATTTTTGGAAGTCCTTTACAATAATTCTATAGTGACATTCTGAGGAAGTGGGTTTTTATATTTAACAGTACTTCCTTATATTGTTGTTGTTTTGCCGTCGAGTCAGCCCCGACTCATAGTGACCCCTCCTTGGGTTTCCGAGGCAGTATCACTATGGAAGTAGATTGCCCCATCTTCCTTCCGAGGAGTGGCTGGTGGATTTGAACCGCCAGCCTTCTGGTTAGCAGTCAAGTGCCGTAGCCACTCAAACTTTTTCTCTGAGGAATGTTGAAAACATCACAGTTTCTTGGTTTGTCTCTTTGGAGATAGTCCCTTGTAGTTTATGCTCTTTATAGTATCTCTATTGGGATGAGATGTGAAATAGAAAATAATAGTGTTTAATAAGGTGAAATTGCAGCAATGAAGGTGTTTTCAGAAATGTTACCAAATTCCTTCTTTTCAGTGGGCAATTAAAGTATTTTAAATTCCAGAGAACTTTAAGATAGTTTAGGCAAGTATTTAGAATGGCCAAGATTGTGTTTAATATGCAGCTATACCATTGGGATATGTGTGTGTGTATATATATATTTTTTTCTTTTTAATTTAATATTATTATTATTATTTTTAAACTACAGGAGCTCTTACCAAAGTAAAGGAGAGTAGGCGACATGTGGAAGAAGGAAAGATGGAGGTCCAAAAGGCAGATGGCATTCAAGATCGCTGTAACACTATCTCTTTTGCCACTTTGGCTGAAATTCACCACTTCCATCAAATTCGAGTAAGAGACTTTAAATCACAGATGCAGCATTTCTTACAACAACAAATAATATTTTTCCAAAAAGTGACCCAGAAGTTGGAAGAAGCTCTTCACAAATATGATAGTGTTTAATGACTAAACATTGGATTGTAGACTTTTTTCAGTTCAAAGGATAATTTCTACAGCCGGATGAAAACTGCTATCAAAGAGCTATTGCCAACTATCAGTGGTGGTACAAGGATGGTTTTGTGTTCAACTGAAGCCCAGCTGAATATATAATTATGTAGGAAGGAAACAGTTAATATGTTATGTAATAGAAACAGTACCACACATTGTAACTAAATTATACTATGTATGCCTACACTACCATTGTAACTTTTGGAATAATGATTATACTATTTGCCTTATTGCTTTTTGAAGTATGGGTATTTTAGTGCATACTTTGTAGACCTCAAAACCCTAGAAGGGTCTCAAAGAAGCTGGCTGGATAAAAGCTGGCTGTGGATGCCTTTTTACTCTCATAAATTGGGATTACCTAAATTCAACTTACTCTCTGTTTACAAACTCCAACTAGAGCAGCTATGCGACTTTGTGCCTTTAGACTCTTGGTTTTTTGTTTCTTCCTCCTCCCTCCTTTTTTTTTTTTTTTTTAAAGTAAGCCACAATTTTTATGATTGAAAGAGTGAAACGCCAGTGCATGTAATAACAAAATGATGGTATTGGCTGGGGTGGTGGAGGTGGAGTGGGGGTGGGGGAGGTGGGGTAGAAGGGGGGGTGTGGAGAGGACCAGCCAGTTCAACAATTTGCACAGCAAGTCTTATCTCCTGATGAAATGCTGGTGAGAGTAGAGAAAGATTTGATGCTCATCTTTAGATATGAAGTCTGTCTGTTAGGGAAGAAAATGGTGCCACTATATTCCCTCAGATGCTACGGTAGCATAAGCCTCTTCACTCAAGTGTCCTAAAAACTTGGAGTGAAGGTTTAAGTAAACATGTCTTATGAAATGGAGAAGAGGAGTCTGATCAGTCAGGGGATGCAAGTACAGGATCAGTGACAATAACATTTGGTTTTAGTTCTTAGGGTTTTTTTTTTGTTGTTGTTTATTTTATTTCTTAGCTTGAAGATCTTTTACTATTTTCAGTGTGATAGTATTTTTTGTTTTTTAATCGATCTACACTGTTAACTGATTGAGACTCCACTGTGATTCACTTGTTTACTTAATCAAAAACTTTTCAGGGATGTCTGTAAAATTCAGTGTTATATGTGATGAAAAGTAGTATTGGTTGAGGTAAGGAGGGACCAGATATTAATTTCTACTATTCCTGATACTGAAGGAAAAAAAGTCATCGACTTATACTGCATTTTTTAAAAGAAAGCATTGATAAGTCCCCAAGGACATTTGGTCTTTTATTAATTAAAGAAAATACGAATGCTAATAAATACCAAAAAGATTCAAAAGCAGCTTGATTTAAAAAGCACAAAGTGATTCTGACTTGAAATGCCAAAATCTCAACATTTTTATATAGGTGGTGAGCTAAATAAATAATGTGATTTTTGAGCTTGCAGATTAAAAAGCTGTCACTGAAAAGTTAAAGTATCCACTGTTTTTATGAAGTCAAACTTAACGCTGCCTCAAAAATCCCTTGGTACTGAAATGGTAACGTGATAAATAAAGAGGTCAGTTTGAACTACTGGTGAGTTATACCAGTTAAAGAAAAGGGTCAGTTTGCAGGTAGTCACAAAAAGAAAAGGTAATTGAAATAAACAGTCAACAGCACATTTAATCTCTGAAAAGTAATCTCATATGGGCTATACATTTAAGAACAGATTAGCATAATTTTGTTAATTTGGTCAAAATTTTTATAGTTTAGGTTACTTAGAGCCAGATTAAACATCATGTGGCTTTGTCTTTACTACAGGTATGTGGAACTGTAACCAAATATATTGTCCTCTAAAAAGTAATTTTATTTTATTGATTGCAGAATACAGTTCTATAAATGAAAAACCCATATATAAAGGTTAATTTTATTGCAGAAGTTTAGAGATTATAGCATTTAATTTAAAGTTTGAGTCTGTATTGGATAAATAAGCATTATGCTTTTCAAATGATTTGGAAATCACTTTATTTGCCTCTTTATTTTGATGGTGGTTTGATTTTTTTTTTTTTTTCCCCCTAAGTAGACTCACTAAACATGTGCATTGATTGCATGGAAGTATCGGAGGTCTTGTCTGTGCTTTAGTCAGGTGGGCATAGCTTAAATTACAAAAACTAAAGATAAAAGTACAAGGAAGTATAGGTTCATGCTGCCTACTTACAAGAAAACTTTTGTTCTTCATAACTACATTACATTATAATGCCACTGATTCATGAAGGGTTTATTAAATTCTGTGGAGTGGAACACCAGAATTATTCATGCTTATTTTCATCTAAGATTTTTATTTCTCTAACGTTCTTGGTCCTATTGAAACATTTCAGTATACAAAAATACTGCAATGTTAATACCCAAGAGAAAAGCCATCATAATATGTATGTTGGTCTTGGTGATCAGCATGGTACAGTTTTTTTTTTTTTTTTTAATAAACTTTCATGCCATTACTTGTCTTTATTTCTCTAATTTGTAATTCTGATATATGATGTGTTTATAACATGAGGGCGTCCAGTTGAGCCTGGCTTTGCTATTTTAATTACCAATGGAGTTGTTTATATACTGTGACTATAATGCAGTGAGACTGGTTCCACAAGCCATGATGAATCATAACCCTTCTACCCTTTTAGGCTGTTGTTTCTGAAGGTGTAGTTTGAACCCAGAGTAAGGCAGCACATACGAAATTGAGACATGGAGTCACTGGCTTGAATACAGCAGTAATTGATTTTCATTGGGCCTCACTGGTACAGGGGAGTCTTAGGCTTATTCCTAACAATACAGCAGATTCTTAAATGCTGATTTTAATTGTCCTAATTTTTGCTGCTGTTCTCCTAATGAAGGACTTATTTCAGTCTGTCAAGTATATAAAGTTTATGTATATACTAAGTCCATTACTATAGTCATTTTTTCCATTTGTTTTCATTTCCTCAGAATCAAATACCATATCTGATACCTTTAAATCAGTAGCATTATCCACTTTTCTCATTTCCAACGTTATCTTTGCCTAACAGAATAAGTAAAATGGTATTATTTATTTATAGATTGCAGATGTTGAATATTGTTTTATTTCCTTCAGAATGTTACGATTAGTGCAGATCAACAATGTTTATCTTTAAAAAAAAAATAAACGAAGGTTTTATTTTTCAGCTTCAATGGAGTATAATTTTTTTTTTTCTCCATTTAGTCAAGGAAGCTTGGAGTGAAAGAGTTTATACAGTAAAAAGGAGATAAGAATGTTTTCTGTCTTAAGCTTCCATCTGCAGTTGCCATGTAAATTGTTCATGAAACTAGCTAATTTGATTAAAACCATAAGTCATTCAAGTAAGCCCACTCACTGGCTATCTGTTTATGTCAGTGTTCTAGTTATGTAGTGCTGCTGTAGCAGATATCCCACAAATGGGTAACTTTAACAAACAGAAATTTATTTTCTCACAATTAGGAAGCTGCAAGTCCAAATTTAGGGTGCCAGCTCTAGGGAAACACTTTCTCTCTCTCTGTTAGCTGTGGGGGAAGGTCCTTGTCTCCTTCAGCATCTGTGGGCCTGCTGTTCCTTGGAGATCTCCATGTGTCATGGCATCAGTCTTCCTCTGAGTCTACGAGGTGCTCAGTGCAGGGACCCCAAGTCAGAAGGATGCACTCTGCTCTGGGCTTTTCTTTCTTGGGGATAGTAGGTCCCTCTGATCTCTACTTTCTTATTTAATTCTTTTTATATCTCAAAAGAGATTGACTCAAGATATAAACCAATCCTGCCTCATTTAACATTAGGGGTGAGGAGTTACAATACATAGGATAGCTCTGGTGGCCTAGTGCCTAAGGCATCTGACTGTTAACCAGAAGACTGACCATTCAATGCCCCCAGCCACTCCTCTGAAAGAAGATTGGGCAGCCTATTTCTGTAGAGATAATGCCTTGGAAACCCAAGGAGGGGTCGCTATGAGTTGCAGTCGACTCGACGGCAGTAGGAAGATAATTACATCAGATCACAAAATGGAAGTTGATCATATAACACCGAGAATAATGGGCTAGCCAAGTTGACCCATATTTCCGTGGGACACAGTTCAACCCATAACACTAGCCTTGTTGTTAGGTGCTGTTAAGTCAGTTTTGACTCTCAGCAACTCTATGTACAACAGAACAAACACTGCCTTATCCTTCACCAGTCTCAAAAGCATTGATATACTTGAGTCCATAGTTGCAGCCACTGTCAGTCTATCTCATTGAGGGTCTTCCCCTTTTTTGCTGACTCTCCACTTTACCAGGTATGATATGCTTCTCCAGGAACTGGTCCTTCCTGATAACATGACCAATGTATGAGAGACAAAGTCTGGCCATTCTCACTTCTAAGGAACATTCCAACTGTACTGTTTCCAAGACAGATTTGTTCTGACAGTCCATGGTTTGTTCAGTATTCCAGTCCAAAACCATAATTCAAATCCATCAATTGTACTGTTTCCTCTTTATTCACTGCCCAGCTCTCATATACATATACAAAAAAAAAAAAAAAAGTAGCGAACTCACTGCCATTGAGTTTATTCTGACTCATAGTGACCCTTGCTTGGGCTTCCGAGGTGGTATCTCTATGGAAGTAGATTGTGTGGTCTTCCTTCCAAGGAGTGGCTGTTGGGTTTGAACCACCAGCCTACTGGGTAGCAGTCAAATGCCTTACGCACTATGCTACCAGAGTTCCTCCCCATATACATCCTTAAAAACAAAAAAAAAACTCACTGCCATCAAGTTGGATCCGGCTCAGAAACCCCTTGGGTTTCCGAGGTGGTATCTCTATGGAAGTAGATGGCCATGTCTTCCTTCCAAGGAGTGGCTTGTGTGTTTGAACCACCAGCCTTCTGGTTAGCAGTCAAATGCCTTAGGCACTATGCCACCTGAGATCCCCAAGACAATGGCTTGGGTCAGGCACATAGTCTTTAAAGTGACATCTTTGCTCTTTAACACTTTAAAGAGATCTTTTGCAGCAAATTTGCCCGATGCAGTGTTTGATTTCTTGACTGATGCTTCTATGGCTGTTGATTGTGGATCCAAGTAAAATGAAATCTTTGGCAACTTCAACCTTTTCTCTATTCTTTGTGATGTCACTTTTTGGTCCAGTTGTGAGGACTTTTGTTTTCTTTATTTGACGTATAGTCAATACTGAAGGCTGTAGTCTTTGATCTTCACCAGTAAGTGCTTCCAGTTGTCTTCACGTTCAGCCCGCAGGGTTGTGTCATCTGCATGTCACAGGTTAATAACTTTTCCTCCAATCCTGTTGTCATGTTTTCATGTAGTCCAGCTTCTCAGATTATTTGCTGAGCATACACTAGCCTAGACCAAGTTAAAAGGGGCAATGGAATGACAAAGCTTAACATCATATATATTATGCCATAATACATATTTTAAAAAAGAAAGAATGCATAATGGTGGGTATAGGCACTTGGTGGATCCCACAAGGAGC